TTATGCTCCCACAAACAATGTAGAAATATTCCCTTTTCCCCATATCCTCTCCAGTGTCTGTTGGTTTTTGCGTTATTGATGATGGCCATCCTGACTGGAGTTAGGTGGTATCTCAGTGTGGTTTTGATTGACATTTCTTTGATGACTAGTGAGGCTGAGCATTTTTTCATGTGTCTGTTGCTGCTCATATGTCTTCTTTTGAGAAGTGCCTGTTCATATCTTTTACCTACTTTGTAATAGGGCTGTTCTTTTCTTTTTGGCATGTTTGAGTTCCTTGTAGATCCTAGATGTTAGTAGGCCTTTGTCAGATACACAGTTGGCAAATATTTTTTCCCAGTCTGTGGGTTGTCTCCCTGCTCTCTTGATGGTTTCTTTGACTTTGCAGAAATGTGTCAGTTTGATGAGGTCCCACTTGTTTATCTTATCCCCAACAGGCACTTGGGGTTTTGATCAGGAATGGTTGCCAGTTTCAATTTCCATAAGGATGTCTCCTGCATTTTCTAAGGTTCTTATGGTTTGAGGTTTAGGACTTCAATCCATTTTAGAGTTGATTTTTGTGTATGGTAGGGGTCTTGTTTTAATCTTCTGCATGTGGTCAGCCAGTTTTCCCAGCACCATTTTCTGAGTAAGTCCTTCTGTGTCCATGTTTTCATCACCTCCCACTTCAGGAGCCACCTGGCTTTCCTCTCTACTCCAGGGTAGGTGTGAGAACGGGAGAGGCATCAACACTCACTTTCCTTAGGGTTCAGAAAAAGAAAGGGAGTTAGCGTGAAACTGACGACTGATCATCGTGGGTTTTCTTGGTCGATGTCTTTACTTACTCATGAGTCAATCTCTGCATTGAGGGCTGTGAATATTTTTCCTTACTTAGATTGAGAGTTTGAAATTTCTTTCTGGTCCTGGCAATCTATATTCCCCCCCCAAAAAAGGGGGGGAAAGGAAATGTTTAGTCAGTAAGTTTCAGCCTGGCCAGCAGTCTTGGCTCTTTCTGAACCATCCAGATTGACATGTGGTGATCTAGGGAGACATACTGCCTTCATTAATTCAACAAATATATTCAAAAGTGCATTTTTAGCTGTGAATATAGTGCTATTCCTGCGTGTCTCCCCATGATGGAAGTGGATGAGGTTAGGAACAGAACCTCTCACTTCTTCCTATCCAATAAAATCCCAAGGGAGGTGTATGCAGTTATTCAGTAATTGTAAAGCCAGATGTTTAATGATGAGTGAAATGACGGTTGTGATATTCTAGGAACAGCAGCAAACTGTACAGCAAAACCAAAAAATTGTCTTTGGATGTATTTTCTTTGTTTTGCAATAAAAACACACAATGAATAGAATGGAGTCAGATGACAAAGATCTGAGGCTAGGTTAATAAATTTCCCACGTGAGAAACAGAGTATCGGGAACAGCAGGAGGAGCTAGTTGTGTTTTTTATCTTTGTGTGGGGGGTGGTGTTTTTAATCTTCTTTGGGAGGAGGAACAGGATTCATTGAAGATAAGAAGTTGGTCTTAAACATGTTTGTTATGAGGGGACCCTAGAGCATGTGAGTAGACATGACTCGTGGACATTTGTATTCTTACCTGAAACCAGGATCAGTGGTGAGCCTCGCTCCTCCTTTAAAGGGACCATGAGGGAAAGGGGCTTCCCTTTCTGAGACCTCTGGCAGTTGTGGCACAGACAGAAGACCCAAGTCTACCCAGTCAAATGCAGCTGTCTGGGCTTTCCACCCTGAGGAATGAAGTGAACGCAGGTCAGACTGTGTGTCTACAGCCTCCGTGGAACTGAGGAATAGCTGAGGGCCCGGAAGGGGCGAGGCCTGGGAGCAGGGCACGTGGGCCGCATCCCAGCAGCCTCATCCTGTGCAGACAGGGTCTGAGAGCCTGCTGGTCGGACCCTGCTTCCTGCCCGAGCTTGGTTTTCCGACCTTCCTATTGAGCTATCGGACGCCCTGTCAGTAAGTGTTTTTCTGCTCAAGTTAGGCAGAGGTGGTTTTGGTCTCTGGTATCCATGAACTCTGATTAGTACAAGCATCCCATGAAGGACCCATGAAGCATTTGATGGGCTGGTGTTCAAAAGTGTTGGATTTTCCTTCACTAAATGAAATAATCCAGTAAGGTCATTTGTAGCATGATGAATGAATTAGTGTGCTTGGTTCACTGAGCTACTCCATTGCTCTGTGACCTTGGGCAAGCAGCGTCTCTGCTTGGATGTCTGTCTGATAAACGTTCCACAATTGCTGATGCTGCCTCCGAATGTCCCTTGTCATTCTTATCTCAGAAAAGAAAGAGAGACCTCGTTGTTGCCACCCAGTTCTTCAAGTCAAACACCCACTGGTCATTCTAAACCCTTCCTTCCTGTCACTGCCCATCTCCCATCCATCCACAGGTCCTCTGGGGGTCACAGAAGATAACCATCCCTGTCCTGATCTCCTTTCTACATTCAGCCCCACGAATCCAAGCCACCTTGATAACCTTTACTCTTAAATAACTTTTCTTTCTCCAGTTCTGTCTGGTTGAACTCTTCTCTGCCCTCAGAATCATCTCCACAAAGCATCTAGAGTGATCCTTGAAATTGTCAAACGAGCCCTATCAGTGACTTCAGATTCAATCTAAGCTAAAAATATGAACTCCTCACTGTGGCCAGCCGGGCCCTTTCTGCCACTGGCCCTACCTGCTGCTTCCGGTTTTCTCGTCCCTCGCTCATGTCCCTCTGCCACCCTGGCCTCCCATTCCTCGCACTTGCCAAGCTCCGTTTGCGCTGCCCCTCCTGTTTCCTGGAATGCTTTTTCCTTAGTGTTGACCTAGCATGTTCTTCCAGGTGCTCCTTCTCCAGGGAAACCCTTCCTCAGCGCCCCGTTATACACACCCTCTTATGTCATACTGTCTTGCTTTCTGTGGGGCACCTTTCACCTTGTGAAGTTATCTGGTTTATATATGTGTGTATTTATGTATTGCCCATCTTCCCTGGAATATTAGTTCCATGAAACCAGGGATCTCGTCCGCTTGTTTTCCACTGAGTTTCCAGTGCCTAGAAAGATAATTAGCACTTAATTCATAAATACTTGTTGAACAAATGAATGAAATAAGGACCAAAGGACTTAACTCTTTTAAGCTTTAATTTGTGGCACGAAATGCCTTCTTCTAGGGACACTTAGCACAGTGCTCGATGTATATTAAGTGCTCCATAGATATTACTGGTTTTGTTATGGTCGGGTTAATGTTATGTAAATTTATGTCAACACATGACTTTTGTATAGATAACAGTGTAGAGTAGCATGCAGTTAAAGAAAATGAAGTGGAATCTTGCATACCAGATTCGTGTGATTAATTTTCTAGGTCATTGTCTGAACCACTCAGGAGCATTTTTAAACTCTTCCCTCCTTCCCCAGGAGGGTATATGAGAGGTGAAGGTAGATATGCACTGTTTAAAGATTTTCCCTGGGTGATCCTCACTACACTCTCTTATCACCTGAACTAAAGAAAAGAATACATAAGACACTAATATAGTTTACTTAAGGTCCAAATCTTTTCCACATTTCAGAAGGCTTTCTAAGAACAGAGCAGCAAGGTGGGCAGTTCATTGGAGAGGTCGATGTGAATTGGGGTCTGAGATAGAGAGGTTGCCCATGGCTCTGCAAACTGCAATGCAGAGGCCCAGGCCACAAGTGTACAAAGTCATGCTGAATGAGCAATGAGTGACCTTGATTACCTTTGCTGGGATGGTAGGAACGATTGCCAAATGAGACCTGGAGACCAGCCAGCAGGCAGAGATGGAAGGGAAATGAGTGAGATGGGTCATTATCCAAGTCAGCCTCTGGTCCATTTTCATCTAGGGACAGGATTAGCTACAGATTGATGATCTGTGTGTTTGCTAGGACATGAGGTACAGGTCCCAACCTGGAGACAGGAACATTTCGTGGGGAACCACCTACCCTTGGAGAGCAGTAGCTATTAACAAGAAAATTAAATAGCCTGTGATTACACTGGACCTCGAGGACCCCTTAGGAAGCAGATCCACTCCATTAGTCAACCTTTCCCACCCCCATTGCCAACGCTCCTGTGATGTCTTAAGCTTTTCTTTCTTGGGGGTGATTATTCTCAGAGATACGCACAGAAGGTGTCCTACAGTGACCATTGCTTCATTTCAAATGTGGCAGCAGATTGCTTCTTAAAATTTAGCACAAAGACGTATTTTTTTTAATCAGAATATGCATGTTATATTTTAAAGATAAAATGTTATCTACTGCATGTTTAATCATACATAAGGGGGGAACTCCCCCAAGAAAACAATTATTTTTTAAAGGGTGGGCCCCTTGTAGCACAGGTTTCCCCTACTAGGTCAGTGTTCTAAGGAACCCCTCGGCATCAGTGTAGCAGCTGACATTGTTGTGAGAGGCCTGCAGTCAACTTCAGTTAATTTTTTTCTTGGAGAGTCTTTCAGTGCATTTGCCCATTTCATGGTGGGCGATCTGTGCTGAACTGACCCACACCACGTGAGTGTTCTGCAGTTTCCGACCCCAAATGGCAGGATCCCTGTGCCCTCCTCCCTTCCTCTTCACCCCGTCTTGCACCGAGACCTTTTTTGGTTTCCCCAGTGAAAAAAGTCCTCAAAGGGAAAAGCTTTGCCAGTGTGGAAGAGGCGAAAGCAAAACATGGCAGAAAAACTAAAAGATGTCAAAATTGATGAGCTCAAAAACTGTTTTGAGCAGTGTAAAAAGCATCTTGAAAGGTGTATTGCATCAAACGGAGAGTATTTTGAAGGTGACTGAGGTTTAAATGTGTAAGAATAGATACACATTTTTTTACAAATAAATTCCAAGTTTTTTTTAAGTCTCCCTATACACACACACACACACACACACACACACACACACATTAATTTATATAACAAATTTAGTTAACTTTTAGAATTATATATTCTGTACCATGCCATTTTCATTGGAAGAAGTTTAAGTATGGTCTAATGGAATTTTTTTTCTTTTAATTTTAATCTGCTAGTGCTGCCAACTGTCCCTACTCAGAAATCAATTTGAATAAAGACCGTATTTTCCCAGACCGCTTAAGTGGTGAGATGCCTCCGGCAAGTCCATCATTTCCAAGAAATAAAAGAACAGACACAAACGAAAGCTCCTCATCTCCAGAAATCAGGTAACTAAAGCAATGATATTAGCAGTGTTTGGAAGCACTCTGACTGAAAGAGGTTTTCTAAGATGTTTTCTGTTCTCTGGCAATGCTTTCCTGTAGATTGTTGAAAATGCACCTGATTTCATATGAAGTGATAGTAGAGATCAGTACTTGGACTTTTTTTTTCTTAATTAGGCAGAGAGTTTATAAAAGCATGTCCAAATCAGGCAGGATTTTCTCTGACTTACTCATCTTGTATTTGAACTTGCTTGGTATTAGAGGTTTGGAAATTTCAGTCTGCATGCTGGCTTCTATTTCTGTAGGGATTGATCAGTACTTAGACGGAACCAACCTTTATTAGGTGCAGACTCCTTTCTGTGGACATTATCTCTTTTTGGTGCTCATTATATGCCAAGTACTTGGATACACATTATTTTATCTAATTGTTAGTATGTTAATTTCAAGTTTTTATTTTACTTGTAGAGTTGAGTTGGAATGTTTAACCACAGTGGATTATTAAATAGAGAGTTCCATTTGTTTGACTGATCTTTAAGTAAGTGGTCTGTAGCCTTATATTAACTAGGGATACTATGAAAAAGAAAGAGCAGATTGAGAGAAAGATGCTTCATGCTTAGGTTTTGGGGGTTTCTTTTATGAAGCATTCTGACGCCTAAGGCAACATAGTTCTTTGTTTATTTTTATATTTTATGACTTCCATTCTTATGAACCATTCGAATTCATAAATCTGAGTGTAGGCTGGGCTGGGTGGCTCAGCCTATCATCCCAGCACTCTGGGAGGCCAAGGAGAATGGATTGCCTGAGCCTGTGGGTTCGAGAGTAGCCCAGGCAACTTGGCAAGACCTCATCTCTACGATAAAAATAAAAAGTTAGCCGGGCGTGGTAGCGTGTGCCTGTGGTTCTGGCTACTTGGAAGACTGAGGCAGAAGGATCGCTGGAGCCCAGCAGGGCAACTCTGGGGTGGCCTGGAGCATGTCACTGTGCTCCAGCCTGGCCGACAGTGTGAGACCCCAACTCAAAAAATAAATAAACAAACAAACATAGGTATGAATCTAAATTCATAGCAATGTTATTAGAGTAGTGGCATTTAAAGCATCATTATTCTTATAGAAAAGCAATTTTACCTCTTATGGATGGGGTGGGGGGAACTACAGCCTCTTCAATTATTAATTTTTTTTAACCCTTAATAGCCATGACTAATATAACATAAAGCCATTTGCCAAATCTCAGCATCCCAAAATGAGGGTCACTTAAAGATTTTTTTTAACTTTAAGACAAATAAAAGTTATCAGTTTCTGTAGAAGTAATTACAGACAGAGAGTTCATTGACTAAAAAGGTATTAAGGATGCCTAGAGTTTAGATTTCAAAAACTAAGTTACTGTTTAAAATATCACTGGGTGTGATGGCTCTCACCTGTAATCCCTGCACTTTGGGAGGCCGAGGTGAGAAGATTACTTGAACCTAGATGCTCAAGACCAGCCTGGCAACATAGCAAGACCAAGGCAGAAGGATTGCCTGAGCCTAGGAGGTCAAGACTGCGGTGAGCTATGATTGTGCTGTTGAACTCCAGCCAGGGTGAGAGGGTGAGAAATAAAATAAAATAAAACACAGGAGGGTTGGTAGTTGTCTCTCGTATGTTTTCTGTACCTGTCTGGCTCCTGGGCCAGATATCCGGGGCCAGAGTCTCCTCACAGCACAAACAGGTGGTTGATTTGGATGATTTCTTGGGTTCTTTTTCACTCTAAATTCACGTAAGAATCATTTTTCATGGTGGATCTAACATTTCAGTGTTCTGTTTCTGTTCAGGTGTGGTCGTGGTTCTTCCTTATGGTAGTCATTTGTGATTAAGGAGACAATCTCAGAAATTTTGTTTTCTATAGTAACCTATCACATGTTTCATATCTAAGTATTTTTAAAATTATATCTATTTTTAGCCTGTACCATCAGTTTTGCGTCAGTGAATTCTGACCTGCCATCGCGCTCTCTTTTTTTCACTTTTTTTTGCAGGTTTTCTGTTCAAATAATGGGTTAGAAAGTAACCATCCTCTCCCTAGAGTTTCAACCAAAGCCTTTACTCTCTGAGACCCTGAGTTGCCTATCAGTTGGGATCGTCAACTCCAGTGTCTAAAATGAAATGGAATGTATGTCCCTGCTGTATGTTACTATATATGTGTAAAGCAGCACTTGGGTTTGTTAGTTAAGCTTTCCTGGTTACTCCTTCCCCTTTTCCCGGCCCTGAGAGTCTAGCAGGAAATGGAACCATCTGAAACAACCCATGAGCTAGTGGTCTGTTGATATGGCTCCACTCAGAAGGTGTTAGAGGTCAGAGGTTTAGAAACTGTTGAGGTGCTGGACAAGGCTGGACTTTTTTTTTTCTTTTTTTTTTTTTTGAGTTGGGTCTCACTCTGTCACCCAGGCTGGAATGTTGTGGTGTGATCACAGCTCACCACAACCTCGACCTCCTGCACTCAGGAGATTCTTCCCTGTCAGCCCGTCAGCGTCCCACATAGCTGGGACAATAGCCACCACCATGGCTTATTTTTTTTTTTTATGAGATGAAGTCTCACTATGTTGCCTGGGCTGGTCTTGAAATCCTGGGCGCAGGCAGTCCTTCTGCCTCAGCCTCCCAAAGTGGTGGGATAACAGGTGTGAGCCCCTGCTCTCAGCCAAGGCTGGTCTTAGAATTCTTCTCCTAATTATCTCCTCCCCCTCCTAAAAGCTCCCCATCTTCAATCATAACTCACATTTTCCAAAGAAGTCAAAGAGCTCTTGTCCGTTCTTTTTTGATCTCTTCATATAACCTTTAACTTCTGAACACAACTCAAGGGTGGAAACAGTGTCTTTAAGAGGTAAAGAAATACTTGTTTCTTAGGGAATTTCCTACTTTTCGGGAAAACCCTGTGCACGCTACGTAACTAGTGATATGTTTTGAATGTTGTGTATGTGTATGTTTTAATAATTATTTTGAAATTGATGAGAGGTATCCATGTCTGACTCTGGGGAGAATATTGACAGAGCAGCATGTCCTGCTTCTGGCCTAAAGTCAGCCAGGAGTGAGAAGCAGTGATAGGACTCATCATAGTCTAGAAAGAACCGGATACTTCTCCATTGAAATCCTTGTCCTTGACAGTTCAGAGTTGATGACTCTATGTATGTACACATTTGCTTATTTTTTTATTTTTTTATTTTTTTGAGATGGGTTCTCTCTCTGTCACCCAGGCTGGAATGCAGTGGTACAATCGTAGGTCACTGTAACCTCGAGTTTCTAGCCTCAGGTGATCCCCTAGTCTCAGCTTCCCTAGTAGCTAGGACTCCAGGGGTGTGCCACTGCCACCATGCCCAGTTATTTGTTTTGTTTTGTTTTTTTGTAGAGACAGGGACTCACTATGTTGCCTAGGCTGGTCTAGAATTCCTGGTCTCAAGTGATCCTCCGACCTCAGCCTCCGAAAATGCTGGGATTACAGATGTGAACCACTGCGCCTGCCCATTCATTGGCTTTAATTGCATCTTCTTAACTCACTCTCTACCAGCTTTGACCAAAGTTATGGTTTCAATGTGTAGGAAAAGTAAAAAAGCGACAACTTAGACTTTCCAACTTTTTATGTGGCGTTCTGTATTTCTTTCCACATAAACAAGAAGCAATAAATAAATTCCACTTTGACAAATCAACATTACTCCAAGAGGCTGAAGAATAAAAAAAGGTTATGAAGATGCTGAGCTCTCTGCTTAATTAAAAATAATTTAATCTCTTAAAACCTAGACGTAGTAAGTAATCTTATATTCACTAAAGCTTCTGTAATTTTTGGCAGAAAGGTAAGCTAATTGAAAATAAATTGCTACTGATCTATTGACAAAAAAAAATGTATTAAGCATTTTCTAGGTACAGTTCTAAGTGTTAGATGGAGATGATTCTTGTTTCTTCTAGCTATTTTTTTCAAATGTTATTTTCCTGAATCAATACCATCTATGATGCCAGCCTTTTCAGTTTAGAACTTTCCTAGTTATAGTTTAAGCCACATAAGCCAATGAGAGATACTTAATCTTTGGGGTGTAGAAGGTTGATGCGACTGAACTTTATTAGGTGTTTTTTTTTTTTCCCTCTATCTGACTTCAACACTGCTTGACGTCACTGTTTTCCAAGTGTGGCCTTCTAATCTCCTCCTGTAGCTCTTAGAATGAGTTATTTCCCTGAAGCCCACCCAAGGAGCAAGCACAGAAGGAGTTCAGGCCCAGCCCAAGAGCACACAGCAGTGTTTTCCTTTTCTCCCTAGAGGAGAGCAGCGTTATGCTTGGGGCTGGGGCACCGCTTGGACTTCCCTCCTGGCTTCCCTACTTGCTCGGTTGGTGATCTTGGATGGATGGCACAATAGCTCTTGGCTTTGAGTCTCATAATTTGTGAGGATTGTATGAGATGAAAAATGCAAAGGTAAAGCTCTTACACTAGTGACTAATAAGTAATAAACCGTTGATAAATATTACCCTTTATTGACGTTGGTGAAAGAGAAATAGGTGACTTTGTCTTTTTATAGTAGTTCTTTTTTTTTTTTTCATTAGGCACAAAAGAAGGACTGGCCCATTTTGATATTCCTAGGTTAAAATGCCAATACCTTGCTTAAACAAGATGAACCTCATGGTGTTAAATGCATGTTTTCGCTTCTTTTCCCATAATCATTG